GATCCAACTCTGCTATGGCCTGGGAAAGCAGCAGAAGATGGCTCAAGTCCTTGGGCTCCTGCACTCGCGTGGGAGACCTGGAAGAAGCTCCTGGCTCCTGGCTTCAGATCAGTACAGCTCCTGCCGTTGCAGCCAATTGGGGAGTGAACCAGCAAATGGAAGACCTCTCTCTCTGTCTCTACCTCTCTCTGTAACTCTTTCAAATAAATAAAATAGATCTTAAAAAAAAAAAGAAAAAATACTATGTTTAGAAGAGAAAATTGATAGGACTCTATGATTGATTCAAGATAACATATTGAAGGTGAATCAGTTAAAGGAATCTTAAGTATCTGACTGTGAGGTATCTTGTTGAATGGTGGGGTTTTTACTGAGATAAGAAATACAAAAGAGGAAATCTGACCCTCTCAGGGGAAAGGCAGCAATGGGTTCTAGGTGTGTTGTGTTTGACCAGTGCTATCCAGGAAGCCTGGTGCCTGGTTTTGGAGCTCAGTGGAGAGCTCGAGAGTCATCTGCCTGTAGATGGTGTCTGAAGCAAAGCTGTAAGTAGAATTTCCTAGAAGGGGGTACAAATTGAGGGCACAAAGAGCTGCTGGTTATCACTGCCAAATAGTGCCTCCCAAATCCAGTACGAAAATGGCCCATCAGCCTGGAGAAGTGGATTAGTGGGTAAAGCCACCGCCTGCAGTGCTGGCATCCCATATGGGTGCCAGTTTGTTTCCCGGCTGCTCCACTTCCGATCCAGCTCTCTGCTATGGGAACGCAATGGAAGATGGCCCAAGTCCTTGGGCCCCAGCACCCACGTGGGAGACCCGGAGAAGGTTCCTGGCTCCCGGCTTCAGCCTGGCCCAGCATTAGCCATTGTGGCCATTTGGGGAGTGAACTGGCGGATGGAAAATCTCTCTCTCTCTCTCTCTCTCTCTCTCTCTGTAACTCTGCCTTTCAAATAAATAAATCTTAAAAAGAAAAAGGCCCAAAAGTATCCACTGGATTTGGCAATTAGGGGGTCACCATGTTCAGTATATCTCATTTATTCAAACATTTACTGAATACTATGTGTAAAAGATACTGATTATACAGTGTTGAATCAAATACAACAAAAATCCCTGTTCCTATAAAGGTGAAATTCTAGTTGGGGTTAGAAGACCTAGAAAATAAATACAGCATCATGGTAAGAGGCCAGTGTTGGAAGGTTATGCTTCTCTTAATGTGACATTCTCAAAAGAGAAAATTATGAAGGTGGAGATCAGATCCAAGGCTTCCCTGTGGGAGAAGGAGGCCTTGACTACAAACGGGCAGCGCATGAGAATTTGGGGGGTTGATGGAACACTTCTGTATCCTGCTTGTGGTGGTGGCCATGCGAAGCTACAAAATGTCTCCAAACTCCTAAAACTCTATAGCAAAGATAAGATAGTTGTACTGTATGGTAATTTGGGAATGAGCGATTGGGCAGTAGCTGAGAGGCAAAGTTAAGATTGGAAGAAGGAGTTGCTTTTGAGATGGAAGGGATTTCCGTTTCCTCCTTTGCTAAGGAGGACAGGCAGGTCTCTTGGGAAAGGTGTTCGAGAGTAGTTCAAAGGTGAGGGATCCAGGGCGAGCCTGGGGAAGAAAGGACATTGTGAAAGAATTCAAAGTTGAGGTCCCATTGTATTCTCTTTCCCCCATGAACTAGGAGGCCAGGCCACCAGCCCAGAGTGGAGGAAATGGGTGTGGGGTGTGGAAAGGTTTGGGAGAGCTGCTTTTAAGGTTTGCTGTGCAGTTTAGGGTCAGTTGAAGGATGACACAATGAAGCTTTAGCAGCACTGAGCTGCACTTTTGAAGATTCATCTTCAGTGGCTTGGAGCAGAGAGAAGTTTGGGTGTTACGTGCAGATCAGCTGAAAGATCTGGGGCAAGAATTTTGGAAGTAGGAGCAAGTGGCTGGTGCTGTGGCATAGAAAGTTAAGCTTCTGCCTTCAGTGCCTGCATCCCATGTGGGTGCCAGTTCGAGTCCCACCTGCTTCATTTCCAATTAATCTCCTTGCTAATGCAGCGGATGATGGGAAAGCAGCGGATGATGGCCCAAGACCTTGGGCCCCTGTACCCATGTGGGAGACCCAGATGGAGCTCCTGGCTCCTGGCTTCAGCCTGACCCAGCTCCATTCAGCCTTTGCAGCCTTTCAAATAAATAAATAAATAAATATTTTAAAAAATAAAGTAGGAGCAAAACATTACAAGGATTAAAAAAGGAAGAAAAAAGGGTAGGCATGTGGCATAGTGGTTAAGTTGTTGCTTGGAATGCTGTGTCCCATATCAGAGTACCTGGTGTGAGTCCCAGCTACTGGCAGCAAATGATGGCCCAAGTGCTTGGGCCCCTGCCACCCACATGGGAGAGGTAGATGGATTTCCAGGCTCCTGGCTTTGGTGTATTCCAACCCAGACTATTACAGGCATTTGGAACCAGCGGGTGGAAGATCTCTCTGTCTCTATTTCTCTCTCTCCCTGTATCTCTGTGTTTTAAATAAAAGGAAAATAAAGAATTTTTTAAAGCTTTAAAGAAAAAAGGAAGAACATAAAGCCAGCAGGGAACTGAGATAAAGGAGTGGGAAAGTGACTACAATTAGGAGTAGGACTAGGGAGCAACGGCACTGGAAGGATGAGGGTGCTGTGATCAGAGCGGTATAATGTAACATTTCAGAAGGGGAGCTGGCATTGTGGTACAGAAGGTTAAGGCGCCACTTGGGATGCCGACATCCCATATCAGAGTGCTGATTCGAGTCTTGGCTGCTCACCTTCTGATCCAGCTCCTTGCTAATGCACCTGGGAAAGCAACAGAAGATGGTCCAAGTACTTTCACTCCTACCACCCACTCAGGAGACCCAGATGGGGTTCCTGGTTCCTGGCTCCAGCCTGGCCCAGCACCAGCTGTTGCAGACATCTGGGGAGTGAATCAGCAGATGGTATATCTCCTTCTTTCTCTCTTTCCCTCCTTCTCTGTCACTCTGGCTTTCAAATAAATAAATAAGTAATAAATCTTTAGAAAAATGTTTCAGAAAGGACATGAAAACTAATAAGTAAGGGATTCTATCGCTGTTTGGAATGGTTTCTATGTAGTAGTAATAGTGATGCTAGCTCTTTTTTATTTTATTTATTTATTTATTTATTTATTTTTGACAGGCAGAGTTAGACAGTGAGAGAGAGAGAGAAAGGTCTTCCTTCCATTGGTTCACTCCCCAAATGGCTGCTACGGCTGGCGCGCTGCGCCGATCCAAAGCCAGGAGCCAGGTGCTTCCTCCTGGTCTCCCATGGGGTGCAGGGCCCAAGTACTTGGGCCATCCTCCACTACCTTCCCGGGCCACAGCAGAGAGCTGGCCTGGAAGAGGAGCAACCGGGACAGAATCCAGTGCCCCAACCGGGACTAGAATCTGGGGTGCTGGCGCCACAGGTGGAGGATTATCCTAGTGAGCCGCAGCGCCAGCCATTGCTAGCTCTTATTTATTGAGCTTTACTATGTGTCTGACACTGCTAAGTACTTTTATGTGCATCATCTCATTTAATTCTCACAAGAGTCCCATGAAGCAGGTACTATTCCCATTTTCTAAATAAGGAAACTAAGGCTCAAGAATGTTAGGTAAGTTGCCCAAGGTCACATGGCCAGCAAGTTAGGAAGTGCGGACTACAACTCACCATGTCTGAATGCAGAGTTATGCTCATCTTACTGTTGTACTCTACTGCCTCTCCCACAGGAGACATCTTGGTTCTGTGGCCACAGAATGACAACGAAATGTTTTAGAAACAAATCAATGTTATGTGCATACCTTAAAGTAAACTCAACACCATTTCTGGGAGCCAGCTCTGAAGGGTATCTCCCTCAGAGCAAGCCAGTAGTTTCAATTTTGTATACAGATATGTTGAAAAGTCATTTAATCTGATCGTAAAATTCTTTTTCTGGGGCGGGTGTTTAGGCTAGCAGCTAAGATGCTTACTTCCCATATTTGGGTGCCTAGGAGCACCTAGGTTCAATGCCTGGCTCCAGCTCTGATTCCACCTTTCTGCTAACGCAGGCCCTGGGAGGCAACAGTGATGGCTCAGGTGGTTGGGTCTCTGTCACCCATGTGAGAGACTTTCTCTCCGTCTGATGTGTGTGTGTGTGTGTGTGTGTGTGTGTGTGTGCTTGCCTCTCAAATAATTATTAGAAATCCTTTTCTAAAGGACAAAAATGTAACATACAGAGATGGAGCATTTTGGTGATAAGCTTTTGGTTTGGTCAGGATAGATCTGGGGTCATTAGGAGGTGGAAGATGTGGCCAAAGCAGTATAAAAGGTGAGGATCACTGAAGTCAAGTTCTAGAAGCTGGGTATGGGATGGGTTATTTTTATAGATGCCAAAGTTACCTAAGATGATGGTGAGGCCAGGAGAGGGTGAGCCACCAGGTGCCAGTCTTCAGTCAGCGTGGAAGAGTGGCCAGGAGGTTAGTGGACGATAGCAGGACAAGGAGTGTGGTTCAGTGACATGAGACCCAGATGAGCACTTCCACTTGAGAGCGAAGGAGTCTGGGTCTGGGAACGGCTGCTAGAAGAGCCTTCCAGCTCTGTCACGCTGCTCTGTCCCATTTGTCCTGGGGGACAGTGAGCAGCCCCTCCTTGGGGTCTTCACAAGGGAAAGGTTGGTTAAGACAAGGAAGGAGGAGGGCACTTTAAAAAAAAACTTGACAGTATGTATGTTTGTCATTTCCAGAGGGCATAGGCTGGGAGTGAATCAAAGTATGAAAATGAGTCTGTCCCAAATGCCTGTTTCCTTCCAAGAAAAATAAACCACAAATATGTGGACAGGGGATCATGACTTTATTGCATGTTAATATTCCTCCTAAGCCCACAAACCATGAAGAACCCTGTGGCAGCCATTCTTTGCCATCATCTTAGCCGGGAGCATAGCATCCAGAGCCCAGACTTGTGAGCCTGGCTACTCTAAGACTTATTTCCTGGTGTTTGAATCATCCCATCCCACCTTCTATTTCCTGCCAGGCTCGAAGCCCCTGTCTTCCCCACTGTGGAGGAGTAGATGTCCATTTCTCAGGAGCAGTGGACTGCTTCCGGCAGATAGTGAAGACTCAAGGAGTGCTGGGGCTCTGGAATGGACTGACAGCCAACTTGCTGAAGGTGAGAGGAGTGGCCAGCTCTACTGCTTCTCTGCCTCCTCCAATTACACCCTCTCCCTCCGTCACCACCCTCTACAGTTTGCATGGGAACACCGCCTCTATCACTGGTGGTAGCACAAGGCTCATGAATTCAGGCTAGCTGTGAGGCCTAAAGAGAGGGGAAGCTGTACAAATGGTAAGGTGTCTTCTTCCCATTGCAGAGGATGTGACTGTTTAGTGTAGGGGCTCCTAACATGGGGATTCACGGGCCTCCAAGGAGGATCTAACCCCCCCATCCTAAAATTATATGCAAAAATGTCTATGCATATGTATGTGTACATTATATTCCCAAAGAACTCCATGACCAAAAAAAAAAAAAGCTTAAGAACTCTGGACTAACCTAGTAACCTTGCACCAGCTGGCATGTAAATGAATCCAATTAAGGCCAGCATATATCAACCTGCAGTGTTATGTGTCTGTGTTCATATTAATCCAGACCCAGCGCTTGCCCAGGACACAGCCTGCAATCACCGTCATTCCTCTCCCCCCACCTACTGTGCCAGTTTCCCTTTCACCATCTTCCCTGATTTCACAAAGAATGACTATGTTTTGTTGTCCACAGCGGTTACCTCAGTTTACCCTGATCCACCTTGACTGCAAATGCATTGGCATTTTCTTTTCTAAGGGTCTAACATGATTTTCATTTTCTGTTTTGACAGATAGTTCCATATTTTGGAGTTATGTTTAGCACCTTTGAGTTCTGCAAGAGAATCTGTCTTTACCAAAATGGTTACACTGTGTCTCCTCTGAGCTATAAATTGACCCCAGGGGTGGACCAGAGTTTGAAGCCCCAAGAATTACGAGAATTAAAGAAGTTCTTCAAAACTGGAAACCTGAAGTCAAAGAAACCAACTCTGTAAAAACGGGGTGGACCTAAAGTGCACTGACTGAAGCATGTTGCAGTCCCAGATAAATAGGCCTCTAGCTACACATGAGTGCTCGAGAGGGTGCTCCTGTCTGCTGCTCTTGGAGAGGAGACAGTCTCGCTCTAGGCCACCTCAGAGCTCCAAATTGACATCCCTGCAAACACCTGCACCATGAGGCAGCTTCCTACCACTACGGTGTCATGATGGCATCCCACCATATTTTATAACCAAAGTCTAACACACACAAAATGTGTGCTTTATACTCTGAACAAAAACATGGCACCAAAGAAAGGGCATTGCTGGAACACCTCCACATGTAGTTGAAGTGACTGAGGAGATGCCACATTGTGAGCTCAGCCACTGGGCCACTCACAGTTGAGGCAAAGCTTAGACCATCCAGCACTGGCCCAGTTGCACTGTTGACCTGAGGGGTCCCAGTACAATCGTTCGTGCATCAACTTTTACTGACCTGCAAGTGTACATGCCACCGTATAGATAAGGCCTCATCAGAAACTAAATGAAAACGTTTAACATTTTTTAAAAGATGTATTTATTTATTTGAAAGTCAGAGTTACACAGAGAAAGAGGAGAGGCAGAAAGAGAGAGAAAGAGGTCTTCCATCCGATAGTTCACTCCCCAGTTGGCTGCAACGGCCGGATCTGCACTGATCCGAAGTCAGGAGCCAGGAGCTTCTTTGGGTCTCCCACATGAGTGTAGGGTCCCAAGGACTTGGGCCATCTTCCACTGCTTTCCCAGGCCATAATAGAGAGCTGGGTCAGAAGTGGAGCAGCCAGATCTCAAACCGGCACTGTATGGGATGCTGGTGCTTCATGCCAGGGCATTAACCTGCTGTGCCACAGCGCTGGCCCCTAACATTTTTTAAGTTATCACTATCATAATAGAACCATCCTTTATTGAGGTTTAAAGCAGTATCCCGGGCTTAGAATCTGGCATTCCAGGGAGGCACTTTTTAGCATGACTGCTTAATTATACCCTCAGAGATCTCCCATACACAGTTCAGGCTGCCTGATTCCTAACTTTTTAAACTTGCTTTGCAAGCCTACCCTGACAATAAATTATTTAGTGAACTTAAGTTATCTTCACAAGATGTCCCAGTTGCCTAAAATGGATCAAGTGGAACATTTGGCACACCTACCACATAAAATGTAACTGAATAAAAACAGTTGCATCTAATTACCTATACTAGATTTTTTAAAAACCACACTCAGGATTGTTCTACCTTGGAGATTCTATGGAAAGTTTATGAATAGTGTCTGTCTAAGCATTAAAAAACACATTGAGGGTTCGGCACTGTGGCATAGCAGGTAAAGCTGCTGCCTGCAGTGTTGGCATCCCATATGGGCACTGGTTCAATTCCCAGCTGCTCCACTTCTGATCCAGCTCTCTGCTATGGCCTGGGAAAGCAGTAGAAGATGACCCAAGTCCTTGGGCCCCTGCACCCGCGTGGGAGACCCAGAAGAAGTTCCTGGCTCCTGGCTTCTGATTGGCACAGCTTTGGCCATTGCGTCCATCTGGGGAGTGAACCAGCAGCTGGAAGACCTCTCTCTTTGTCTCTGTCTCTGTCTCTCTCTTTCTCTCTGCCTCTCCTCTCTCTGTGTAACTCTGACTTTCAAATAAATAAATAAATCTTTTAAAAAAACACACATTGATTTCTGGGGGCTGGCATTGCAGCACAGTGGGTTAAGCTGCCACCTGTGACACCAGCATCCCATGAGCACCAGTTCAAGTCCTGGCCGCTCCATTTCTGATCCAGCTCCCTGCTAATGTGCCTAGGAAAGCAGCAGATGATGGCCCAAGTGTGTGGGTCCCTGACACCTGTGTGGGAGAGCCAGATGGGAGTTCTGGGCTCCTGGTTTCAGCCTAGCCCAGCCTTGGCTGTTGTGGCCATTTGGGAAGTGAACTAGTGGATGGAAGATCTTTTTCTCTCCCCCATTCTCTCTAACTCTGTCTTTCAAATAAATAAATAAATCTTTTTTTAAAAAAACACATTAATTTGTAACATTAAGTTGTTAATTCATACATACACACACTTACACACGGAGGTTTTCAGTATGTTGAAAGTATTTTTCTGATTAAATTTATACTCCAAAGAAAACTGCTGTGTTAGTCATTTATTACTAATATGAGTTCTAAAACTATGGTTAAATACACACTGCTCAGAATCTTCAACTCTCGAAACTTGCCCTTTTAAAACACCCAAATAACTCATTTTTCCCCAACTGCTATGGCAGACTGTGTTTATGGGGAATAGCAGTTAATACACACATGAAAATCTCATCTGTAGCCCAATCTGTTAGAGTTTGGATGGCAGCAAAATTTTGGGGGGTTGTGGGGGGACTGGGGAGCAGTTTTGTGTTTTATTGATGCTGCAACACTCAGGCCCTCTGCAGAGGGTACAACCACTGCTTCTTGGTCTCCAAGTTCTCTTCCTGCCTGTTGAGCCTATGGCACATGACACATATTTTCTTGGACCGCAGATCCAGGGGCATGTAATTACTGCCCGTGTAGCATTTCCTGAGGTTTTCTTTCTGAATCTGGTCAGTGACAGTGAGAACACAGACGATGGATTTGCAGATGACTCAGATCTTAGAGAGCTTTGATGCGGTGCCGCCTTGTCACTTTGGCGCCATGCAGCTGGGGCAGCTTCACCTTCAGGTCAGCCAGCTGTTTCAGCAGCCCCTCTTTCTTCTTGCCTCGAAGGTCCTGACTCTTAATCCTGGCCATGGCTGCTCAAACTGCTATGGACTGTGGCAAATTCTTTATCCAGAGTGAATAGTACACACTGGTTATGCTCTATTTAACCTGAAGCAATCAATTCTTTGAAAAGTTCTGAAAGCTGAATGAGTGTTTCACTTTATTTTTTTATTGAATCTAGAATTCTAACCTGAGATGATTTACATCATAGTAGTATGTTTTATGCATCCTACAGGTATTATGAAAGATCACTAAGCTCTTGCTAACTGTCACATGGGAATATTTTCTGAGCTACAGTTTCGATTTTTCCCCCCAATAAATTAGGTGGAAAAGAATACAAGACATCTTCAAAAAGTTCATGGAACATGTGTATTATGAAAAAGCTATGCATGGACTTTCACTATTTTTGCACCGAAATAAGCTTATCTTAATTTCGCTTTACTCAACTTTTTGTATGCCTCATTTTTCTCATTTTAGAACAACTCTTTAACACTCTAGTTCTGTTCCTAAAATGAACTTCCAGCTATTTTCACTTTCATTTTCATTTTCTTGGAGGTGTGAAGGGAATGTTCTGCCTTGCAGCTTGACGGCTGGCAGTGTGCACCCCACTGGACTAAGTACTTCCAGGAGGCTTATAAAGAAGTATGATGCAGGACTGACCCAGGAGTAACTTGTGGTCTAAGGAACAGCACATAGCTACACACATAAAATGATGACGCTTACAAAGGAAATGCAAGCCAAGGCATGATCGTGTATCAACTGCTTATAACACAGCCAAGCAGCTCAATGCATAATGAATAAATGATTAAGGGGAACATCACAGGGGAGAGGGGCCGGTAATGAGCAGGGACTTTTGGAGATAATGAGTCCTGAACACAGTGTTGAAGGAAGTGAGGGGATAGGAATTGTTCAAGCACAGGTAGGAAGGCATGGCGGGGAGGACACATGCAGTGTCACAGAGATGGGAGCAAGCAAAAGGCATTTGGGACAGAGCAAGGAGACTGGCCTCTTGCATTTATTCCGAACTGCAAGGCGCTGTGGACCCAGTGGCAAAAAGGGCAGTAAAGGTCCTTGTCGTCATAGGTTAGTAAATGCGGCAGTCAATACATGAGTAAACGAATCAATAAGTTATTTAATTACAGACCATACTATTAGGAGGAAAATCCATGGCGTGCTCTACTAGAGAATTCTTTGAGGGGGAGGGAAATGTTTTGATCAAGGAGCCAGAGAAGGCCACTCTCAGAGAGGATACCTGAGATGAGACCTGAGGAGTGACAATGAGCCAACTCTGCAAAGAAGCAGGGAGGTGAGCCCTCCTGGCAGACAGAGAACAAGTGTGAGAGTCTGGTCGTGGGGCAAGACTTGGTGGCCGTAAGGGGGATGAGTCAGCACGGGTGCAGTGAGCAAGTGAGAGAGCGGCAACAGAAGAAGTTGGATAGAGTCAGATCCCATGGGGTCACATGGGCCATAGCAAAAAGTTCAACCTGCTTTGAAATACAGCGTGGAAGTCCTGGAAGGGTTTCCAGAAGATAGGCAATACAACCTGAGTTTCTTTTTTAAAAGATCACCCTGGTTGCTGTGTGGAGAATGGGTGGGAGGGAATTCCATCTGTGAGTGGAAAGGGCAGTTAAGAGCCTATTACAGAAACCTGAGCAATAGGCAGTGGCTGGGGCTAGAACGATGACATCGAAGATGGAAAGGAAGGAAGAAATCGAACACGTATTCTGGAGTAGGACTTGGTAGGATTTGCTGAGCGATTGAATGATGTTGGAAGTACAAGGGATCAAGGATGGCACCTAGGGTTTGGACTTTTGAAGTGACAAGGTAAATGTTGTTGCCATTTGCTGATATAAGGAAGACTGAAGAGAGCTACAGTTTTGGTGGGGAAGGAATTAAAAGTTCTGTTTTGGACATGTTAAATTCAAAATACTGAGTAGACATCCACGCAGAGAAATCAAATAGACAGTTGGATAGAGCATAGGCTGCCCAAGTAACTGTCTAAGTCAGTTGTGGTGGCAGACTGTCCCCCCAAAGTTGTCCACACCCTAATTCCCAGAACCTGGGAATCTGCTACCTCCCATGACAAGAAAGCAACTTTGCAGATGGGATTATGGGTCATATTGACACGGAGATAGCAGCCTGGATTATCCAGTGGGTACAGTCTAATCACAGGAGTCCTTACTAGTGGAAGAGGAAGCAGAAAAGTGGATCAGAGAGATGTGTGCACAGAAGAGGCAGGAAAATTGACCACTACTGCTCGCTTTGAAGACAGAAGTGCCCAGGAGCCAAGGAATGCAGGCAGCCTCTAGAAACTGAGAATGACCCTCAGCTGGCAAGTGACAGGAAAATGGGGACCTCAACCCTACAAGCACAGGAACTGAATTTGGCCAAAACCTGAATAAGCAAGAAAGCAGGTTCTCCACTAGAGCCTCCAGAAAGGAACACAGATTGGCCAACACCTTGATCTTGGCCCAGGGAGCACCACATCAGACTTGTGACCTAGAGAACTATAATACAATTGGGGCCAGTGCCGTGGCACAGTAGGTTAATCCTCTGCCTGCGGTGCCGGCATCCCATAGGGGCACTGGTTCTAGTCACAGCTGCCCCTGTTCCACTCCAGCTCTCTGCTGTGGCCTGGGAAAGCAGTAGAAGATGGCCCAGGTCCTTGGGCACCTGCACCCACGTGGTAGACCCAGAAGAAGCTGCTGGCTTCAGATCGGTGCAGCTCCAGCTGTTGCAGCCATTTGGGGAGTGAACTGACGGAAGGAAGACCTCTCTCTCTCTCTCTCTCTCTCTCTCTCTCTCTCTCTTACTGTAACTCTACCTCTCAAACAAATAAATAAAATATTTTTTAAAAAAACTATAATACAATAAACATGTGATGTTTAAGCCACATGGTAACTGGGTATAGCAGCAACATGAAGCTAATGATCCAGAACATTACTGATACTTATTTCAGAATAATAGAAAAACTCTGGATCTCAGGTCAAAGCAATGGCTGGAGATCCAAACTTGGGTGTCCTAAGTAGATAGATGACATTTAAAGCAAAGAGACCACCAAAGGAGTGGATAGGAAAAATTCCTCAGGGAAGGGGAAGCAACAAGAAATGACACTGAGGAGATGGTGGCTAAAGAAGGCCTTAAGGGGCAGGAATTGTGGCATAGTAGGCTAAGCCTTTGCTTGTGACACCCACACCCTATATTGGAACACTGCTCTGCTTCTGATCCAGCTTTCTGCCAACGCACCTGTGAGGAAACAGATGACAGCTCAAGTATTGAGTTCCTGCTACCCAGGTCCTGGCTCTTGGCTTTGGCCTGGCTCACACCCATGGATGCAAGATTCATATTCTGTGTGTGTGTGTGTGTGTGTGTGTGTGTGTGTGAGACTCTTATCACTCTTCCTTCCAAATAAATAAATAAATCTTTTCCTTTAAAGGCCTCAAGGTGTGGCGGAAATGAAATTCCCATATCCTGTTATTAGGAATGTAAAAGATGAAATCACTGGGGCCACTGTGGCATAGCTGGTAAAGCTGGTGCCTGTGGCACCGGCATTCCGTATGGGCGCTGGTTCAAGTTCCGGCTGCTCCATTTCCCATCCAGCTCCCTACTAATGTGCCTGGGAAAGCAGTAGAAGATGGCCCAAGTGCTTGGGCCCCTGTACCCAGGTGGTAGATCCAGAAGAAGCTCCTAGCTCCTAGCTCCGGATTGCCCAGCTCTAGCTATTGCAGCCTTTTGGGGGTGATCCAGCAAATGGAACCTCTCTCTCTCTCCCTCTCTCTCTCTCTTTCAAATAAATCAATAAATCTTAAAAAATAAAATCACTTTGGTAAAAACATTGGCAGCTCCTCAAATGGTTCAACATAAAGTTATCATATGACCCAGCAGTTCCACTCCTAGATATATACCCGTAGAAATGAAAACATGTCTACACAAAAACTTGTATAGAAATGTTTACACATGGCTGGTGCCGCGGCTCACTAGGCTAATCCTCCGCCTGCGGCGCCGGCACCCCGGGTTCTAGTCCCAGTCGGGGCGCCGGATTCTGTCCCGGTTGCCCCTCTTCAAGTCCAGCTCTCTGCTATGGCCCGGGAGTGCAGTGGAGGATGGCCCAAGTCCTTGGGCCCTGTACCCCATGGGAGACCAGGATAAGCACCTGGCTCCTGGCTTCAGATCAGTGCGGTGTGCTGGCCGCAGCGCACCAGCCGCAGCAGCCATTGTGGGGTGAACCAACAGTAAAGGAAGACCTTTCTCTCTGTCTCTCTCTCTCACTGTCCACTCTGCCTGTCAAAAAAAAAAAAAATGTTTACACAGTATCACTCAGAAAAGGCCAGAAGTGGAAATAACCCAACAATGCATCAGCTGATGAACAGATAAATGAAATGTAGCATATACATGAAAAATGGAATGCCACGTAGTAATAGAAATTCACTGTTGATACACACCATGGATGAATCTGAAAATATAATATGCCAAGTGAGAGAAGCCAGACCAAAAAAGAGAGTCCATACTGTATGATTCCATTTCTACAAAATTCTAAGAGATACAAACTAATCTGTCGTGACAGAAAGCAGATCAACATCTCACAGGCTCCAAACCCAGAGGAAAGACAAAGAGGAGCAGGCACTTGGTGCAGCCGTGAAGACGCTGCTTGGGACACCCTCATGTCCTATCGGGGTGCCTGGGTCAAAGCTCTGGCTCTGCTTGTCATTTCAGCTCCCTGCTAACGTGTTACTGAGAGGCTGCAGATATTGGCCCAAGTACTTGGGTTCCTTTCACCTATTTAGGAGATCCAGATTGAATTCCAGACTCCTGGCTTCGGCCTGGCCTAGCCCTGGCTACTGCAGGCATTTGGGGAGTGAACCAGAATAGAAGACTCTCTCTCTTTTCTCTCTCCCTTTCAAATACATAAATAAATGTACACTTTAATAAAAGAAAATAAAAGTCTACCTGCCTGACTTGATTGATCTGTGCTATGTATATGTTTTGAAAAATTGCACTGTATGGCCAGCACCGTGGCTCAATAGGCTAAT